GTGTATACGCGTCTCACAAAGGCACACTTGTCGCGTCGGTCGCCTCGGTGCTTGGATACGGGTAGAGACGCCGATGTGCAACACGGGCGAAGCGTCGTCGTAACGACGTTCCTGGTAGCTGGACGGGCGATACGCATGCGCCGGTTTGAAAGGGCCAATCGGAGGAATGCAATGCCATTGTAGGGACATTGGGGGGGCACTCGGTGGCCTTGCGCGTTCTTCCGATTCCGTGGAAGTAGGAGGCACGTCCATTTTGCCAGCACGTACGATCCCGGGCAGTCGACGCCGGTGCAAAACTGTAATTCCCGTTCGCGACGAGTTCGTATTACTGGGACAGTGGCTGTCTGTCGGCGGCGTTCGTCGAATCGAGGTCGCGTGAGAAGCGTACAGATAGCGCGCGTGAGAACCTGCTACTTGTGGATATCGGTACAGGAAGCCGTCAAAGGAGAATCGTTGTCGCAGGGGCCGCGAAACGCGTCGCGTACCCGGTTCGTAGTTGACTTTTAGCAAGATATGGCAGAACTGCAGGGAACTCAGGTCAGCCAGGACGCCCTGGCCGTGGCTCAGCTAGAGCTCGGTGGGAATCCCAATGCTTTGGCGTTGCGTAGGCCATTTGATCCGGTGGCGCATGATCTAGACGCAACCTTCCGCCTTACGCGGTTCGCCGACCTAAAAGGATGAGGGTGTAAAGTCCCTCAGGAGGTTCTTGGGAAACTCCTCGAGGGACTACAGGCCGACGATGGTAGCGCTCAAGATCATGAGCATGCCCACTTTATGCACATGGCCATTCCACGCATCGGTGAGTAGAATGATTTTATTGCGCGCGTGCATGAATATCTCAATGAGCGGACATGTTTGATTTTCTGCCGCGTCTGTTTTCTTTGTTTCTTGACTATTCTTCCCTCCATTTTGGGAGATAGAAGTTGTTCGAATGTTATCCTGATCGATTCGACGGGCATCCAAAGGATTTTTTCGAGTGATGCGTAAATAAGACAATCGAGTGCGGATATTTTGTAAAATTTTTACCGGTTCCGGTGGTACGTGTTTCGTGATATTCGGGATAGTTCGTGGTTATTCTTTTTGGATTCTTTTGATTATGTTTGTTTTTAAGTTTTTCTGTTCGTTGAGGATACTGTGAAAGTATAGATAAATAGTTTTGTTATTGGCAACGTTCAGGGCGCGAATGTCTGTTCTATTGTAGTGTCAGCCATATTGTCGCCTCCCGCCCGATTTCTCCCACGCCACCGGAAATACAAGTGTTCTCAACTTCTTCGAATTCAACAGCATAATCAAAATATTATGCCATCTATCTGATGTTCTGTGAAAATAAAATTTGAAGTAGTTTTATAACAAATGACCTTATAAGTGTGATGCGAGAATCAGAATGTTTGTTAGTGTAATTAGACTTCACGTATTTATGTAATTTTACATTTAGCATATAAATTTGTTTTCCTAGTTTTCTTATTTTTGGTATAAGCCATCTAGATAAACAAAAACATAAAAGTACAAATACATATTTTAAAAATATTTCATAAATACAGTCGGTTTATAATTTAATTTATTAAACATTAATAGCAAGTTAATAGTTTATTGGAATTTTGTGTTACAGGTATTGGTATGGATTCCTCCGTGACTCCACTGAGACACGGTGGGCTTAGTTTGGTTCAAACCACAGACTTCTTCTACCCATTAGTGGATGATCCTTATATGATGGGTAAGATAGAAATGATATTGATTCTTGATTATGGAACTTTAAATTCTTAACTGTAGTCTTCATCTGGGAAATCTGTAGAGTTTGTAATTTGAGTAATATTTATGTTTCCTTTGTTAAGGATAAAATTTATTGTATGGCAACCTGTTTGACCACTGCTATTGGAGTACTTTTCCAGGTAAAATTGCATGTGCTAATGTTATCAGCGATTTATACGCCATGGGTGTTACGGAGTGTGACAATATGTTAATGTTGCTGGGAGTCAGTACAAAAATGACTGAGAAGGAACGGGATGTTGTTGTTCCCCTAATCATGAGAGGGTTTAAAGATTCTGCCTTGGAAGCTGGCACAACAGTGACAGGAGGTCAAACAGTTGTTAATCCCTGGTGTACAATAGGTGGTGTTGCTTCTACTGTCTGTCAGCCAAATGAATATATTGTGTATGGATCATAATGTGAATTTTGTTATACTGCACTTCAAATTCATTTATCTTTCAATAGTAATGAATTTTTTTTTATTCAGCCCGGATAATGCAGTTGTTGGTGATGTTCTTGTATTAACAAAACCTCTTGGAACTCAAGTTGCTGTTAATGCTCATCAATGGTTAGACCAACCAGACCGCTGGAATAGAATCAAACTTGTGGTAAATGAAGACGATGTCAGGAAAGCTTATCAAAGGGCAATGGATAGCATGGCTAGACTGAACAGAATAGGTGTGTTTATTTATATTTTAAATAATGAATAAAAGTATCGATATAATGATTATTTTTCTCCTGTTAATAGGAGCTAGACTGATGCATAAATATAATGCACATGGAGCAACAGATGTCACAGGCTTCGGTCTTTTGGGACACGCGCAAAATTTGGCCAAACACCAGAAAAATGAAGTCTCTTTTGTTATTCATAATTTACCTGTTATTGCAAAAATGGCAGCAGTAGCAAAGGCATGTGGCAATATGTTCCAACTATTGCAAGGTCATTCTGCAGAGACCAGTGGTGGATTGCTCATTTGCCTACCTAGAGAACAGGTGGGTAACAATATAGTTTGAAAGTGTATTTTTATTATAAACATTTGATTAATCTTCGGTCTGCGAATAATTTCTAGGCTGCAACGTATTGCAAAGACATCGAGAAACAAGAAGGATATCAAGCATGGATTATTGGCATCGTAGAGAAAGGAAACCGCACAGCTAGAATAATCGACAAACCACGAGTGATAGAAGTTCCAGCTAAAGAGAAGGATGGTGAGCTCTGGTAAAAGGATTGAAAGTCTTCGCCTCCTTATTCACCGATATGTATTTAGAGAATACCACGATCAACGCGCATTTACACATGAAAAAAACTTCACAGGTTCAGAGCACTAAAGTGTATACTATAATACAAAGTCTTTTTTCTCTAGATACAAAAGTACTGATGAATACATTTCATAGCAGTATGATATTTTTGTTTTGTGGGTTAACGACGTGATATATAACATTAATGACTCCTAATTTTGTGTTATCTTTGTCGAAGTTGAATGAGGATATAATTCTCTGCCTTTTTTTTATAATATTTGTCAAAAGTTTAAAAAAAAACATCCGTAATACGTTCTTGGTTGTCTTCCGGACAACGATGAACAATTATTAGAG